CCTCTGGGGAAACGGACTTGATTGCATATCCTTCAGAGTCTAAAAACCTGCCCATATGAACTGAATTATCCATGACATGTACCTTCAGACGGTTGTAATGTGATATTTCATGTAAATTTAGACCATACCTTGGACATGAGCCTCTGGCAATGTTAAGTTTATTCAGGAGCTCAGATAAGAAAAAAATTCTGACATCCTTGCTAATCTGTAGTCGTTAACATGGAATTTCCAACATAAAGAGCATAAAAGCATCTAATTTGCTGTAGCAAATTAAAGGAAAACAAACTTTGCATTTCCCTTTCCTTTTTCAATGTCTACTGTTACCCAGCTTTATGCAAACAAACTCTTTTCAAAAGTCTTCTCAGTCTATCTATTTGAAGATATATAAAACTCCTAGAACAGACTGCAATGTAATTAATTATGAATACAAAGTCAAACTTGGTCCAGTTCTCAAACATTGTCTAACCTGTATTATCAAAAGGCAATGAGGAGTAGAAATGTACTACAGGGGCTTGTGTATCCAAAGGTCTTCTTCCATTGAGGGAAGTTTCCCATTTTGGCCAAGTCTGACTCCTGCAACCAACCCACCAAACACCTTTACAGCCAGATAATTAGGGACATTTTGAAACCATGCAGAAACTGACCCACTGGCTACAGGAGCTCAGCTTTCACAGTCATACATTGCAACTGGGAAAACCATAGCCTTGACTATACACACTTTTGTCAGCAGGGTGATGTCTCTGCTTTTTAATATGCTGTCTAGATTCGCCATAGCTTTCCTCCCAAGGAGCAAGCATCTTTTAATTTCTTGGCTGCAATCACCGTCTGTGGTGATCTTGGAGCCCAGGAAAATAAAATCTGTCACTACGTCCATTTCTTCCCAACTATCTGCCAGAAAGTGAAAGACCCAGATGCCATCATCTTATTTTTCTTAATGTTGAGTTTCAAGCCAACTTTTGCACTCTCCTCTTTCACTTGCATCAAGAGGCTCTTCAGCTCTTCTTCACTTTCTGCCATTAGAGTGGTATCATCTGCTTATCAGAGGTTGTTATTTCTCCTGGCAATCTTAATTCCAATTTGTGATTCGTTTAACCCAGCCTTTCACATGATGTGCTCTGCCTGTAAGTTAAATAGGCAGAACGACAATATACAGCCTTGCCATACTCCTTTCACCATGCTTTTCTTAGAAACCAGCATGCTTACTTACAAACAAACCAGGCATTTAAAAAAACTCGGGTTGTCATGACATTCAAGTCAGCCTTTTCTTATATCCTTGGAAATATTTACAGAAAAGCCAGATGGTTTTCCACCTCGTATATGGTTGTTGCACCCTCCACTGCTGTTCCTGCACTGAGGAGGAGTTTGAGCTAGACAAACGACAAGGTCACTTCTAACTCTATGATTGCAGTGTGAGAAAGGATGAAATGCTTCTTCTAAGATTATGTCCACTGCAATTCCTGTGCAACTTAAAACAACTGTTTTTCTTTTTCTTAAAAAAATATTTTCTCATATACAAATTGATGTAATCATCTACTACAAAATATGTGATTTATTAATTGTTTAACTAGAGAATGATCCAGATGGAGTTAAGCAATTTAAGTCCCATTAATTACAATATGGCAAACTGATACACATTCTTAAATTTCCTAACAAAGTCCACTGACTTGAAAGGGTTTAATCTGGCTGGGTTGCACAGCTATAGTTCTAAAATTTCATTTACATTTCTTCAAAAGTAAATATATAATGAAATAAAGCATTTTTGTGCCTGAGCTCTGATAGTATTTTGCAGTCTGTGCAGATTAATACACAGTTTGACTATGAAAGCATCTCACTTACAGAAGAGTTCCTTTTCTACAGACTGGGGGTAAAAGCAGTCCAGATTACAAACATCAGCTCATCTGTGAGCAAGACAAGCTGAACAAGCTGATCTACTCTGTTTCATAAAAACTGTTTTCTTCGTTAATTTTGATTATGAGGTATTGGGATCCACTTATCTAGAAACTGGGGATCCCTCTGAGTGTGTGTGTTCATGGGGGGAGACTCAGTTGCTAAAGTGGATTCCCTGTTGCAGATTCCATTTTTATATATTTGGTTAAGGTATTTTAAACACTGCAGCAAGGTTGTGTAGTACCTGGATTTCAGTTTTATAATTTCAGTTTTATAACTGGATTTCAGTTTTATAATGCAGTTCACTACTTTCTTGGTGGCTGCTCCCAGGCTGTGGACATCCATGCCCAAGGAGCCTAGGTTGGCTCCCTCCCTGCTGTCTGATCACCAGCCACTGAAGACATTTTGTTTAAGTTGGTCTATTGAGTGGGCGTTGTTTTTACTTTGCTTCTGGTGCATTTTAATGTGTTTTGAGTCACTAAATTTCTATATTGCCCTTACCTGGAATTCTCCAAGTGCCATTTTCTTGGTTAAGGTGGAGTAGAAATTTTAAAAAAGTACTTTGTCCCTCAAGTCTGTGTGGCATCCTCCACAAGGCTGCCGGTACCAATAATCATTACATAATTTATTTTGGGAGGCTCAGGAGGCTCTGAAAATGCTTACTTCCTGATTATTTCCAGGGCATTTCTGGGAATGGGGCTCTGCACAGCCAAGATAGGCTTTGAAACAGAGGAGATGGAGGGAGATTAAACAAAAGGAAATATAAATTAAACAAGAAATAAATAAGGAAATAAGGTGTAATAAGATGGAGGACAGTTCATTATAAAAATTAACAATAAGATGAAATAACAGAAAATAGAATAAGCAGCCATATTTGTTCTGAGATAGACTGTCCAAAATGATTTAAAATGTATGTGGTTCACTATTATTAGAAGTATGGACATTTAAAAATAGATGGAACTGAGAGTTCAATCTATCAAAATAAGCATATATAAAGAGTACAAAACAGAAGGAACAGCTTTTACATCAAGGGGATGACACAAAATGAACAAAATAGGGTAATTAAAATGAAATGGATGGATGGAATAGAGTGGAATCTAGGGGAGATTTATTATGAAAAGGAAGGGATGGGACATTCAGAACTGCTTTCTTCCCACTTCAGTAATGTGTGTGTGTGGGTACACATGTAGGGCCACTCAGATCCTTGATACTGCCCAATACAGTTCCCAGGCCAAAAAAAATTGCCTACTTGTATATCAGTGAAAAAGGTATGGCAGAGCTGGAAGTTACTAAGATGTTCAGCAATGAGAACCAATAACTCAGATTCTTCCATCAAACATAACATCACACTCTACCTCATGCACACATTTGTTTTTTACATTTTATGTCTAAAATGGCAGAAGCGATTAGGAAAGATCATCTGAAATGTTATGGAGTATATATTAAGAATTCTAGAATTAAAGGAGATGAATGTTTGTTCTTCTGAGTACTGTTATCTTTGTATATTACCTGCATGAGTTTGGTATTGTAACATTACAAACAAAAGATCTGTTTTGATAATTGAGGGAGAGGGATGGAAATGAAAATATTATTAGCTATTAGCCTAGCTAAGATTGCCATTGCAAACCTTTATTTTTCAAAAAATCTAAGATTAAAGTTTATTTTAAATTCATATACAATGTAGCTCTGTTTGTTGGATAGCTTCTCTATGATGCTCAAAAGAAAAAATAGCAAAGGAGCTTAAATTTCGCACTCTTCCCCACAATCAATATTTGAGGCAAGTTACATCTCTAGAGTCCTTAATGGCAGGAATTCATGGAGCCAGCAATGAGTAATGTTAAACCTATGATTAGATGATGAGGCCATCAAAATACACTAGACCCTAAATGCTGCATTCCACTTTATCCTTGTGAACTGCAGCTAAACAAAGAGCAAGGAAGAAGGCATTGTAAGTTATTCTTTCTCCCAAGAATATGCAAGTACCGCTTGTTAGAGAACTCAGAGGACTTAATGGATATTTTGCCATTTTCTTGAGTCGGGACTTAACCATTATGTAACATGGTTTAAGTTATTTGTGGGAGCTCAACTGCAGTGGAAGTTCTGGCTACAGATGTCTTTTCTTGAGCCTTTCTTTTACCAATAGCCAGTCTGCAAACATCAACAAAAAGGCCCAAATGTTTCCCTGCGGAATCCAATTTGAAGAAATGCAGCCTATAAACCAGCAAATAGTAAGCAGGTAAGTAGGAGGAATAGCTACAGCTATTTGTATTAACTTTCAGTATGGACAATATCAAAATGTATAAACCGTTTGGAGGCACAATTTATGTATTAAAGCTGACAGAAAATAAGACACAGCTGACATTACATAACATAACAGTAAATATACAACTAAACTTCATTCTGTTCATAAGAACATGTATTAAACACTACTTTATACATGGGGAGTTGTTCTTTGGACTATATATATCATTGTAAAATATTCTGACAGAAAGTCAGATAGTATATTAATATTTGGATGGGAAATTAATGTGTTAATTGAGTTAGAGAGAAATAAAAGGATAGTTTATCTATGAAGGTTTTACAGAAATGCTTAAACTGAGATTTATTATCACTTAGCAGTAAAAAAAAATCTCAACTCTCAATTTCTGTTGTAGACTGTCTTTTGCTTGGACATGTGTTACAGCTGTTCCACAGCAGTGTACCTTGAATACCCTCTATCCCACTTGCCCCCTTCCATTATATTTTCACAATAGTTGTCTACTGTATCTCATATTAAGATAATTTCTCAATATCATGCATTTTCAGATGCCACACCAAGCTCAAACTGGTTTGCAACTTAGTATGCACAAGCGATGCTGCTACAAAGAAACATACAAGAGCAAGCAAAATTATGTTTCAGTCTGCTAACAAGATATTACAGGGCTATGTATTTAAGATGAGAATGACTACATTTTCAGTTGATCCAGTCACTACTACTGTTTCGATAAAGATGGATCTTTAAAGGTTATAAAATAGTGCACCTGTCATAAGGGAGGGTGTATATGCATGTATATGCCTTTATGTAAAGAAATAAATTAGAACAGTATTATTGTTAAACCAAGGAATCAACTTACCTGTGAGCAAAGAAGCATTACAAGTTCAACCACTGAGGTGCTGGACTTCATACAAACTAGGCCTGTGAAAACAAAAGTTATTTATGTAAAGCATAAGTATGTAAGTATTCATTCAATATGGGGCTAGTTAAAATAAGTTAAAACTGTCAAAAGAAGTCACTTCATGCTTTTGAATCCTGTAAATGTTACTGCAAAGCACATAGCAAATAATTCTTAGCAATAATCTTCAATAGTCTTAAATCAGAATTCATTTCTCACTGCAATTATCTCCATCTTTACTCAGAAATAAATCTCATTGAATCCAGCAGAGCTTACTCCTGAGAAAGCATGCGCAAGACTGCAGCATCAGACTCCATTATTCTCTACCACACAAGCTGAAAACAATTTGATTAGTTTAGCACATATATTCCCAAACAGGGTATATGTAATATATAATTACATTTTTGGATGCATTGTTGACTAGAGGAACGCAGACACTATAAATAACCTTATCTTAAATTATGTGGCATGAGAAGGAGAGACAGGGATTGATATAATAAATGAAATGTGTATGCTGCCAGCATAGAATCATAACTCACCCTGCACCCAGCTGATTCCACATGTGCAAGGAGATAATACAACTCCTGTTGCCCAGCATTCTGCTCCATGAGGTTTTGCTTACTCTCGGTTAGAATGCTGGATTCTTTTTATGTCGACTCCTAAATGTAGCACTCTAACATTTAATTGTACCTTAGTTTAACAATTCTAATAACCACATATGTACCAAATGGTAGCTTTTTTGGTAGTAGTAAAATATTTCAACAAGATACTAGTGCGTAAGAAATTAGTTCAACCTTTAAGGGAACAATTAAATGCCGCATTGTCATGCCTTTTCTTTAATCAACATATGTTGTGCCACATGTGTAGCAACTTCCATATTTGTAGCTTGTATGGATATCATTCAAGACACATTCATATATTCTGAGGGAAGTTGCACAAATGCCCACACAACTCCTTTCAAGGTAAGGCATTCCTGGTTGGTTCTAGAAATCCCTATATGGCAGATTCAGAAGTATTTGAAAGGGTAATAACACTCCCACACATTTCAGCCCCATGCATTGCTTTTTCTATGGGGCTAAAATGGGTCTGTATTATGAAATAAATGTTGTATCCCAATGCTTGATTGTCAGATGCAAAAACATGATTTTCAGACTATTCTCATAAATCCAGCTGCTTGGGGCAACATATGTACCCAATTTCAACCTTCCAGTTACTGTAAAAAGAGCTTAACCATACTTAGGTGCACTTAGTGACCTCGCTGTGTAGGAGGCAGGAACTAATGTCCCACTTTTATACTTTGATAAAATCAGAGTATCTTGGACTATCCATCTAAACATTTCAAGTTTCTAGTCATGTAAAACTATCTCAAATGAATGAGTCAGTCTGACTCACAAGTTTTCTATGTATGATATGGCAAATCGTAATATTTCATTCTGAAGACAAATTACTTATATAAAAATATGACCCCAGTAGTTTAGTATACCAAGAATTTTTAATAGATGTCAGAAATTAAAATGGTAAAATTTTCCTACAATTAGTCACCTTTCTCTTCCTCAGTAATAATAACAGAACAATAACACATATCTCTATTTATAGTAAGCAGAATACATCACTTCTCCCATGTTTCTAGTAGTAGTTCAGATTTGGGTTGTATTTCTTGAATTAATGTAATTAGAGATGCCTTGCATCAGATCAACTCAGCAAAACCAATCATATACACCACCCTTGGCAAAGCAAATGGAAAATGTTCTCAGCTCATTTCTGAACTAATACAGATTTGATGCTCCCTGGTTATTTGAATATCAAGTTTCTCTTACAAGTTGCTCAGATTCTTGGTTGTCATATGCCATCAATTCAAAATATTTGAAGTAAACAGATGGGACATGTTAAAACTGCAAACATTCCCACTAAAGGACTATTGGCATGACAGTTCTTGGTGGGCAGAAAGCTCTCCTAACCAAGCAGAAGTTTTCATAGATGTAGCTGTCCATGTCAGCTAGAGTTACAATTATCTTCAACCCCTGGTTGATTTTATTTATTTATTTAAAACATCTGTATGCTGCCAAATTGTGCCATAGCACCCCTGGGCAGCTCACAGTCATAAGATAAAACACAATTAAAAACTAATTGCAACTCTTAAAAATACAATGTTAATAAAATACGGATGAAAATACAAAACAGAAGGTTGCGTGGCATTAACTATTTAAATATTTTTTTTAAGGCAGGTATAAGCAAGTGTACCAAAAAGAGTATAAGGAAGGCTTCAGGCAAATCTCCTTGGGGAGAACATACCAAATATGTGAAGCAGGCCCTCTTCCTAGCAGCCATCTCTCTCACTTCCCTAAGGGATGGCTCACAGAGGAGCCCTGGGTAGATCTCAAAGGGCAGGTAAGCACAAATGGGTGCAGGTGCTCCTTAAGGTAACCGGGGCCTAAGCTGTTTAGGGCTTTTGACAGCTTTGCTTTTGAGCCCTACCATTTGTGGCCTTTAAAATGGGTCGGGAATGGGGAAAATTCCTGAAATAGAGGACATAACACATAATGAAATGATCAAAACTAATATACATTCCTAATTTACAATTTCATATGTCCTCTATACTGAAACCTGTCAAGAGAGTTTGCTAGGAAGTGTCCTCTGTCTTAGATTCTACTCTGAGCAGAAGAATCTGATTGTTTAGAATGCATCTTGAAGAAGAATCTGATTGTTTAGAATGCATCTTGAAGAAGAATCTGATTGTTTAGAATGCTTGCATCTTGAAGAAGAATCTGATTGTTTAGAATGCTTGCATCTTGAAGAAGAGCTTCACAAGTCCTCAAAGTTCATATGGTTCTGGTTATGATCCGGAAGAGCTTCACTATATTAAAATGCATAACTTCTAAGAAGATGATAACCAGTAGGCTTCCTTAGAAAAGGAAAAAAGTAACACTACTTTTATATCCCAGATGGGATAAAAGGACAAGTTTACAGAATAGGTTTCAAACCTAGAACTGAATCCAGAATCTTCTAGAACAATGGAATGAGAAATGCATATTTTTTCTAGAAATTAATTTATTTATAAAAGCATTGCTTAATAATTATCCATATGTATGTTGAAGAAGCAAATTGATTCAAACAGGCATGAACAAAAAGTCATTGGAGGCAAAAGTTCTTTTACACAATAATACAACTATTCATTGCAGGTAATGGACAAATACCTTTTGTGCTCATTTTGCTAACAACCCCATCTTATTGTACAGGAACACAGAACAAGCTATAGGCAGGTACTAGCATTTCACTCCACAGGGTTTACAAGTGTAGAGTTAATGAAATAAGTGGCAGATGTAAACATCTCATTTAAAGAGACAATTGCTGTAATTGATCAGTTTTCCTTATGCTCAAATGCTGGAGGACCAAAAAGATTAATGGGACACATATCACCTGCAAACAAAATCAACTATTAGACATTTGACAAGAAACTGCTAAAGAGAGAGCAGTACAGTCAAATCACCCATGATTAAGCAGCTTATATCTGCCACCACAAGACCTAGTTCTTCTTGTTGGATACTCTGTAGTCCATTCTCCTTGTCCTACATTTCCTCTCAATCCACTGCAAATTTGTGCAAAGTCCCATGGTCACATAAACAGGCCACGTGTGTTAGGAAGAGATTTTTACATATAACCATGCTCTTAGGAGCCTGCAGAATTGTTGTTGCTAGGCAATACAGTGAGAGATGAGGGACAGTGGGAGCATACAGTCATTTCCTGCAAATACCAAGGGTTCTAACCCTTGTTAGAACCTTTTCCTTATTGCTGTTTTCAGATTTCTGATGGCCCATCCTGGCTGCACCAGTAAGTTTTCATCTTGTAGAGGACATAGCACCAGACAAGTGTGTTAACAAGAGAAGCATTGCTCCAAGAGCAGCGTCATTAATTTTATTTTTCCAGAACAAGAGTGGCAAGAGCCTTAGCCAATGAGGAGGCATGTTTTACAAAGGCACAGAAGCAGCATGGATGAGGCTCAAAACCCGTCTTCGCTGCCCACCCATCCCAAAGGTTTGTCCCTGACTGGCTATGTTCAGTGCTACTCTTGTCCAAGAGAACAGAGTTGCAGTCTCCAAATCACTTTGGAATGCAATCACCACAACTTATGTAAGAGTGAAAGAAAAAAGCAGCCTGGGAAAGAAAAAGTAGCAAGAATGGTCTCGTTTCATGACAAAACTAAACCGGTAGGGCAACTGGTATAGCCCACCCCCCTCGGATGGAGTCTCTCCTTGATTTTCCTAAAACCACCCAAAGGTGATAAAGAAGGCCACGAAGTGATAAGGTAAACAGCACCTAATGATGCAGAAAAAAATGGTTTTCCATCAATACTTTTGCAATTTATATATGAAGACATAGTTGGCAATGAAATGTCAAATGGACTCAAGTTATATACCAAAGATAATATGTTTGTGTGTGTAAAAGGTTTCGAACCATACTTTATCTCCCAAGACAAACCTACCAGTTAAAACAATCTCAATACAAAAGCAGGGCAGAATACTCTTAAACAACAACCCAGAGAGAGAAAAAAGTTTTTATAGCCTGCCTAAAATTCCACAGAGATGGAGTTAATCTAGCCTCTCTAAGAAAGAGTCTCACAGTGAAAGTGATCCTACAGAAAAGGTGTGTTCATGAGCCTAGACTTTCTTGCTGGGTGGACATGTAACAGGGCTTTTGATGAGAATGTTAAGTTTCATTTCTTCAACTATCCTGGCATCAAACTGTTCAGGTTGTATAAAAAAGAAGCAGCACCTTGAAATGGACCCAGATTTATTTATTTGTTTGCTTGTTTAGCATGTGGCATATATTGCTAGGCAGTCTACAATGTTTTATGCACAGTAGATGTTCTGGTGCCTAGTCTGTTACTAGTTACAGTTACTAGTCTGTTATTGTGCCAGTGCACCATGGGGGGGCTACTAGCTTAGCACGGGTTGACCAGTGATGTTCTTGTTGAAGTCAGTTTGTCTGGGGCTTTTCTCCACTGATCCTCCACTGAGCACATCCT